CTCCCTAACAAAGAGAGGGAGCTGACAATGTGAAAACTGGTGAGATGGTTTCTTTCTTATTTTAAACAAAGAGATGCAACGATTCTTGGGAAATCTAATTAAGGTTTGAGCTTGTTCTTTGATACTCTTTACTGACAACCTCTCTGCCCTGACAGCTCTATAAACCAGTGGGCTCAGGACCTCTCTTGTCTCAAGCTTAGAAGGATCTGGATGGTCAAGAGAGTTTTATACTTTGAGATTCAAACTTTTCAGAAAAAGAGGCAAATTCATTGTTCCCCAAGGTCTAGGATCAGAGGGATAAAATGCTGAAGGGGATTGAGATCCTAAAAAGGAGAATTCTGATAGCCCTATCCAACAATCTAATAAAAACATAATTAATATTAAATAGTTTTAACTAACAGTAGTTAAAAAATAATGGTGCTGTGGTGTTGACCCTTGTTTAGCTTGCCATATACTTGTTTACTGTGACGCCCTAGCTCATTTTAAACCTTGAATAAAATCAGGTATCCTCATAATCTATTTTTCCTTCTTACAGGAAACATTTTGAAAAAAAATGAAAAAGGAAGACAAAATTAAAATTAAAAAATTCAACTCAACACATCCTTAATTTCAAATTAGCGTTACTATACGTTTTGGCATGTATTATTTGCAAGTCTTTTCCTTATAGGTACATTATTTTTTTACTTATTGCAGTCATAGTTGACATCACTTTGATTTCACTTTTAAAATTAAATTGGTTGGTTTCAATTTAGGGGTAATTTTGCCCTCCAGGGGACATACGAAAAGATCTGGAGACATTTTTCGATTGTCACAACTGGGGTTGGGTGGGGTGTGCTACTGGCATTTAGTGAGTAGAGGCTAAGGCTGCTGCTCAACATCATCTAGTGGACAGGAAAGGCCCCCACAACAAAGAATATCTGGGCCCAAATGTCAGTGGTGTTGAGGTTGAGAAGCCTTGTGTTAAGCTGTTAGTATTAAATCACAGTTTCTAGTCTGACAAGCATCATTTTTTAATGCCTGAATTAAATCCCTCACAGGGGGATATGTCACAATTAACATTTCTCTGCTGTTGGACTATGAGGCTCTTTCCAATTTTTCTCTATTATAGGCAGTGCTGCAATGGACATCTTCCCTCACTTTTTTTCTGCTGAGTTATTTCCTTTGATTAAATTTCCAGAAGTCAGAAGTACTGAATCAATAAGTATGAATATTTTTTCATGTTTCACAAGTCATATTGTCATTTTGCTTTACAAATGGGTGAAGTTGAATGGTGGGTTGAAAAAAACTACAAGCCACCAGAAGTGTATAAATTTTACCAAAACTTCGGCAGTACTGGGTGATACCATTAAAAAAAATGAGAGGAGGGGTCGGCCGAGTGGCTCAGTTGACTAAGAGTGTGAGCTCTGAGCAAAGAGTTGCCAGTTCGATTCCCACATGGGCCAGTGAGCTGTGCCTGAGCTGAGCTGCCACTGGCTGCCAACGGGTGGCAGGATGGCTCAGCTGGTGAGAGCAAGTTTTCTAACAACAAGGTTGCCGGTTGGACTCTCACATGGGATGGTGGGCTACACTCACCTGCAACTAAGATTGAACATGGCACCTTAAGCTGAGCTGCCCTGAGCTGCCGACAGCCGGACGGATGGCTCCCGTGGTTAGAGCATGCACTCTTAGCAACAAGGTTCCTGGTTCAACTCCCGCATGCGATGGTGGGCTACACTCACCCACAACTAAGACTGAACATAGCACCTTGAGCTGAGTGGCCACAAGCTGCCAACAGGTGGCCAGATGATGACTGGACTTGGAGCTGAGCTAGCTGTGCCCTCCACAACTAAGATTGAAGGACAACAACTTGGCTGTTACCCTTCCCCAATTCCCCAATAAGGATCTTAAAAAAAAAAAAAAAGTGAGAGGAGACACACATCTCAAATATAAATTGGTACCTCTAGTTTTGTCTCAATTTGCATTTAAATTGCTATTCAGGAGGAATATTTTCCCATACCTGTTTTCTATTATTATTATTTTTTTGATCTGAATTGTTTATGGCTTTGCTTATTTTTCTAACTGGTTCTCAAGGTTTTTCTTTTAAAATGGAATGTGATCTTTACTGAGAGTATAGATAGTAATGCTGTTGTAGTTAGTGCAATTATTTTTAAACTTTCTAAAGAAAGTTTTACTTTTGTCCCCCACAGCACAGATACGTTAGCGTTTCCTCCTAGAATTTCCATTTACCATTTTAATACTCTTTTTAGGTGCTGGTCACCTCACCCGACCTGCGGCCTCTACACTGAGAGGCCCTGGGGAAGAGGAAAAGCTTCTCTGGCGATTGATGTCAGCACCGAGGTAAGAGCAGCACTTGGTCTCAGGACGGTATTCCAGAATCGAATTTCCCTTAATCAAATGAAAGGCCTTAGGAGGGGCCACAAGGCAGAAAGGAAAATACATATGTAGGAGAATCTCATATTCTATGAGGAGTTTGAAGGACCCGCATTATAAAAGGGCACCATACCTTTAGGATTTGGGAACTGGCGATGCTCCATATGAAGCTATTATTAATATGCAAAAAATACCTTCATAAATACTTGATTCTGTTCACAGTGGGGAGGCAGTTCATTTGAAAGAGGAAATAGGAGCTTGGAGTTGAAACGCGTCCGCTTGTCTCCTGTTTCTTTTTTCATTGCTCTTTTCATCTCCACATTTTGCCTTGTAGTTTTCTTCCCCTTCTACCCCGGACTTAACCCTCTCCTCCATCTCCTAGGAAGTGGTTGATGTCAGTTGCTACCCTCATTTCTATTTATGGATTTACCTCCGAGGCCTGATCCTCGACCCGGTGCGGAAGGGGTGTCTCAAGAGCGAGTCTCACGATTTGCCGTCCTGTGTTTTGGAAGCAGGAGCCCTAAGCTTCCCTGCTCCCTTCCTCAGCTCAGACACCGCTTAGGAAACGCACAGCAGAGGTTTTAAAACCCAACCAGTAGGGGGCATCCGGAGGCAGCTTCCAGAACCGGGTAAATCCGTGAACTCAGTCACGTCTGCAAAGCACCGTCTGGTTTTCTCTCTTACCCACCCGTCAGACATTGTTTTCCAAATCTAGGTCTGTGACTTTTCCTTAAAGCATGGTGATGCCGAACTATTCCACCTTTGGGTCACCCCCCCTACCCCCCCCCACCCCCCGCAGCTAGCACAATGATAAAACAAAAGTAAAAATATTTTATGTGACTGAACTCCTAATATGGCCAGACCCCCATGAAAGGAGGGAGGAGGTGAGTCGGTGGGGAATTAACAGAAAGGAAGAGCAGAAACTGCCAATGCTGATAAAGATCAATTTTGTGTGATATCCTAGCCTGTATCAGAGTGGGAAGGTGACCGTGGAAGGAGTCCACTGGATTTGCCAGCAGCCCGTCAAGGTAGGTAACAAATCTACTGGGCAGAGATTTGTTCCTAAATCCTTTCCAGATGCTTTATAGTAAACATGAAATTAGTCGTTTACATGGAGTAGGTTGAAGAAGTAGTTAAAATTGAAGTCAGTGATTAATAAAAGGCCATTAGCCTCAAGAAGGAAGCGGGGGGGGGGGGCTGTAAGGAAGATACATCCATCTCCCCCATCTCATCCCTATTTTATCTGTTTGGGGGCTGGTGGGGCTCCTTAGATGTTTCCTTAAATTGCTGTCTTTTGGGGGCTACTTCTAAAGAAAATAAGACTCCTGTGACTTGAACAAACCTACAGGTTCTGGTGGGAACAACCTCTCTCCTTTCACAAAGGAGGCATGTGAAGTTCTCAGAGTAAGCTGGTTTGCCACAGCTTCACAGAGGAACCCAGGATTAGGGTTTAAGACCCTGGGTCTGGGGTTCTCTTTCTGACTGCAAGGTTAATAATTCAGTCTAGGACTTAATTTGACGTGACCGAGCTACTCTTTTATGGCAGGTGATGTGAGTCCTCCTGAAATAGAGCTATGGAGCTGTGTGAACTTGGAGTGTGTTTAGGGTACATGAGGTATTTGCAAGGCCTTTGGAGTTGGGGAATTATCAAAATATAGCATATTATATTTTCCTTAATCATAGACTCTCTTTAAAAAAAGACAAGCTTCTAGATCCCTTATAAAGAGTGTCTTCAAAGCGGGCATGTAAAAAAAAAAATGCAAACGTTGGTTCTGCAGTTCCTCAGTAGCAGGAAGGGATGGCTCAGCTGTGTTTTATTTACCTCAGTGGAGGCCTGACCCAGGCCTGGGGTTCTAACAGTGAGAGTTCAGGTCCTTCCACAGAATCCAGCTAGGCACACAGATGAAAACAAAACTACTTTTATTATGGTTGTTTTTAATGAGTGTGAGGAAAGAGGAGAAAGTCAGGCTGCGGCAGGAAGTTGGAGATAAGGGGGAAATAGAGGTCAAGTGTCCTCAAGCCCCCAGGTTGTCACACAGTAGGTAGAGACCTGAGAGTGCCCTGGAGCTGTGCTGCTTCTGCCTCAGGAATTCCCCTGCGTTGACTCTCTAGAGAGAATTCGAACAGACCCAGCCTCAAAGCTTCCAATGAAGAAACAAACAAAATATTTGTGAACATATGTTCCTGAATCACTAATAGATATTCCTAACCCATCCAGCTGAAGCATTTCTCTCCTTTCTTCACGGGTATCCTTGCATTTCTTTCTTGATTGGTATTTTTTCCTCCCCATTCAAAATAAGAATTGGAGTGGAAAAAAATGGGCCCATTGCCCCAAACTTTTACTGCCTATAGCCTCAATGGGTGATACCTTTCTGTGTTCCCTGTTCCCTTTCTGACTTTTCAGAAGTCAGGAAAAGGCCTATTCAGCTTATTCATCAACATGAAGAGCCAGACAAAACATTCCAAGTCTATGAGTTAAGGAACCTCTGATTTTGTAGCCCACTTGCCTCATTTTATTGAGGGAAACGAGGCCCAGAGAGGTGAAGAATCTCACCCAGGGTCACACAGCAAGCCAGGGCAAGAATCCAAAAGTTCTGACTTCCCATTAAATGCTCATTCAAAGTCAGTACCTGTGTCTCTGGCTTTTGGGTCAAAGGTGAGGTTTCATTAAGATTCATTTGAAGATCGGTTCCAGATTCAGTGTTTGCTATGATAGAAATTAGAGAGAAAAAGATCAAGGTTGTCAGATATAGGTCTCATGAATTTTTATATATACCATATACATACATACCTAGTTCATTTGTGTAAAGATTATAAACACACATACACCTATGGCACTCATATTTACTCACCAAATAAAACCTGTAACCTTTACAGGCACAGTCTAAACACCATGTTACATGTAGTATTAAGACCTTATATTCAAATTTCTATTTCCTTGTTTTGGTTGCTCTCTAAAAGAACAAAAATATTCTTTGTGCTACTAAAATTCAAATAAAGCTGAAATTAAAAAGGAAATATTGATGGAAAAAAAATCTGCTGATGCTGTTGAATATAAATTTTGTATGATCGTACCTCACTGAAGCAGGAAAATGCTTCTGCAACCTTCCAGATAGATCAGACTTCTCTTTTCCCTCATAATGTGGAGGGGCTACAGGAGAGGTAGAAACATGACACTAAAGTGGGGCCAGTGGGTTGGGGTGGTGGTGGTGATGGTGGTGATGGTGCCAGGATGGAGGGGGTGGTGGTGCCGGGGTAGAGGGGGTGAGGACTAAGGGAAATCATGGTGCTCACCATGAAGCAGGTGCTGCCAAGATACTGTTGGTGTATAATTCACATGACTCTCCTCCATGATTATGCTATCGATCACTGCTCTGTATAGGGGTAGAAACTGAGGCTCAGAAGGTAAAGTCACCTACCCGAGGTTGTACAACTAGTGAGGATTTGAGTAAGGATTTGAGCCCAAGACTACCTGACTCAAATGCCAAGCTACAAAAGGATAGGATTTATTTTGTTTTTCTTTTTTCTCCCCTAAGAAAGTAAATTTAATGTTTATAAAAGAATGTTTATTTGGGGAGCAGATTTAGCCAGGTACATGGCTCCTCTGACAAGGATTTTAGTCTCTTGTGTGGGACCAGTGTCCAACCAAAAGTTCTTTCCATACTTGCTACTCATAAGTAGCTCTTTTAAGAGTCTGTGGCCATGTGTGATTCTGCATCTTTGTCTCTATGACCCGAAGCCTCTATTGATTCCTTGTGGGCTGACTTTTCCTTTTCTGTTGTTTCTCAGTTGTCCTCTTCTGTCTTGTTTGAAAATAGCCTCTGCATAGATTTAAAACATTTTTTAAATTGAAAACAGCTGGGGAAACTGAGGCCCAAAGAGTGGTTTTGTATGATTGGCTCAAGGCCATACCTTGAAATAGCACAAGACCAGACCTCCTGACTTAGCATCTTGTACTTTCCCCGCTACATCACACTGCCTCCTGTAAGCCTCACTTGAGCTTGCCACATCATAGCTGCTTGGCCCCTGAACAGATCCAGCCCAGCAGAATTGTGTTGTGATGAGGTTCACTTCATTGTGGCTTGAAAGCAACCATGGGTCTCTTAGAAATGAAATTTATAAATTCTAATGCATAAGGAAAGTTCTTACAACACCAGGAGAATGAATCAGTCAGCCAGAGTTCAAGAAATGTAAACACATTTTTAGATAGGAGGCTGAAAAATAGCTTAAGACTTCTCCATCTCTTGGGTCAAGACCCTGGTAATTTACTGAGGTCCAAGCTGTCAAGTAGGAGACACAACTCAAACTGCATTCCTGGGAGATAAAGCAATGGGGGTGGTAAAAGTTCCTCTCTGAACAATGTGGGAAGATCTACCCCTGTTATCAAGCTGAAGAAATTGACTAACTCATCGACCCACGCAGGCAACTGGCTGTGAATACACAGGCCTGGTTCATTTTCATCATTCTGGAGCTGGTGTGTACAATCACAACTACAGACTGCACGACTTCCAGGCCCTCCTGAAACTGGGAACTCTGGCTTTCTGTGATGAACATTTCTGCCACTAAATAGATAAACAGAAAACACATTCCTTCCGTGGCTGCCCACCATCAGACCTGAGCAGATTTTCAAACGCCAGCATTAATCTAACCGCAGGCTTTTAGCAAGGAGATAGCATTCCCACCAGATAATCGGGCAGTTTCAGAGATGACCCTTACTAGATGGGGTCTCATCCCAAGCCTCTTCTGCCTTCTTCAAATCATGGGATCCTTCACCAGACACTCAAAACTTGAAAAGCAGGAAAGAATATCGGATTCTAGCCCAGAATAAGGTGACTTAAATTTTTCTTCTGTTTAAATCTATTGACTATGCTTAATTCCCAAGTTGTTGTTATTATTTGTTTTGGATAAAAATGAAACAGTCATATTTCCTTCCACTGCTTCAGAACACTTATTTCTCTTGGTGCAGGGTGCTCTGGTGGGCCCCATCTTGTATCAGAGGAGAGACTGAACTCCAGCAGGTCAAGTCACCTTATCAGGCAAAGTGGGCCACCTGACTCCATAGATGTGTGTCAGAGATCGGGGAAGAACATCAGACCCACAGGCTCCAAAGTGGCCAAACATTCTGCGGTCACAAGGGCAATAGCCTTTGGAGGTGCAGGCAGGAGCCTCTCTATGTTTAGGCCCTTTCTCACACATACAGTTTCTGAGGCATAAGTCCTTTTGATCATTAGTATGCTGTCATGGAACTTCCCCCACAACTTGCAGTGACTCATCATTGAGAAGGGGATATATCCACTGTCAAACAGATCTCAGAAGGCACCTTTGTCTTCTCACAGCTTTGCACATGGACTTGTAGCAGAAACCAATGGGAGGAGACCTAAAAGCCAGCCTTTGTACCTCATGGTTTTATATTTTTGGTCAAAAATGGAAAATGCAATGGCGAAGTCCAGATTATTAAAAGAATAAAATAAAATTCTTCCCAGTATAAACTAAACCATAAAAGGAAGGGTAATTCTGGTCTCTTTATATAGCCCTGCTGACCTTTCCTTAAGAATGATATCTAAAAATACTTTATTTTATATGATTTGACTCAAGATGCCTGTGACCTATGGAGCCTTTGTTGTGTTATAATAATAAGTCTTGAGTCGGCTTGTTTAATGCAGGAGACCAAGACCCAAGATGGCCTTTTCGTATTGTCATTATCAAATTCTTGGGACAAGATTTAAGACCTTGTTAATGCTACATGTTTTCTCTTTAAATCTTCCTGGATGAGGAGGGGGGTGAGATGGGCATATCAAATAGTTGTTCAAGACCTGAGAAAGTCTCCAGGCTAAAGTCATGCCCCAGGGAGCTCTATTAAAGGAGCCAAGTAGACGGATCTAGAAGATGTGAGTCAGTCTGAATTTAAATATGGAAATGCCTAGTAAATGCAAGGGTAATATTTTTATTCCAATTTGGGATAACAGTTCTTTTACTTACTTATATCTTCTTAGACCAAGGCTAGCTCAGTCTCAAGGGTGTGGCGTTAGCTTTGGGAACACTAACTGCTCTCAAAAGCTCATAAATTATTTTTTATGGAGAGGTCCAATGGTTTATGGCAGCTTACCAAGCCCAAAATGGAAGGCAAGCTAGATGATGGAATTTAAATTCGACTGTGTAGCAACAACAAAAGCAAAAAATCAGCTACATGAGAAACCCTCCAATCAGGATACATCATAAGATTAATTAGGATACCTGTGGTGGAAGACTTGCATGGAAGAAAGGAATCCAAAAAAAGAGGCTGAAAGTGGAGCTGCATACAAAGTGGCCAACCAATTCATGTGGTGGTCTTAATTCTGCAGAAAATATTGTTTTTGGTCATTTGCTTTCAAACAAGTTTAGTAGATATCTGGTCTCCTAACCTCTAATCTTACCTACTTCAATCCATTCTCTACATAGCTGTGAGAATCATTTCTCTAAAATAAAAATCTGGTTATATCAATTCCTGCATGAACAGGATCTCACAGCCTTTGGGATAAATTCCTTAGTTGCTGCCTATGGCCCTTCATGGTATAACTCCTGCCTACCCCACCAGCTGCATTTCTTACCACTCCCTCCCCTACATGTGCCCTGGGGTCCAGGCATTACAAGCTGCTTACGTTTCTCCTCTAACCCATTTTCTCTTATCTTCACATGGTCCCTCTCCCTGGAGCATCCTTTCCTCTTCTCCAATTGGCTAGTTTCTACATATATCCTTAGAAACTCAGCTTAAGTGTCCTCTCCTTTCAAAAGCCTTCTTAACCTCCAGATAAGTTAGCCTGTGCTCATTCATAGCTCTAAGCACACTCTACTACTGTGGATGACTTTAAGTCATGGACTTTGTCTCTCAATTGTATTCTTGTGCCTAGCACAGTATTTGGCATTCAATTAGTATTTGTTGAATGAATGAATGAGCAATCTTTATGTGCTCTATAAAACAGACTCACTAATTCTTTCTGTTGGACATGTTCCGATGCTCGTGTCTTCATTAATTTTCAAATGAGGAATTTTAGAGAACTAAGACAACAGGAAATGAAAATCCTTAGACTACAGGGAGATGTGTGAAAGAAGCAAGAGAGAAACTAGGAGGAAAAAACATGCTTAAGAAAAACCTCATGCTTTTTTTATGGTCTTTTTGATGAGAAGATAACACAAATGTCTAACGGGTGAAATATGAAATAGGAAACAGTATTTATGGATTACTAGTTAATGAAAAGTTGTAATTTTTATCACTTTGATAGAACAGAAGTTAATAGTCTAAGCTTTTTTTATAAGTTGAGAAATATAACTTACACACACACACACACACACACACACACACACACATCTTGAAAACCATACCAGCCTTAAAATACATTGTGGTAAGTACTGCTTCACTGCTTGAGCAAGGCCCTGATCCCTCACGCATGCCATACATTAAGTGAAGAGCAGATCTTGGCTACTTTGGGAGGAACACATCTTGAGAATTTCAAGAATCCTTAGATTTGTGAATACCCCTAGTGTGTATCATATACCCAGTAAAACTAAAGTAGAAATGAATAAAGAGGGGGAGTTCTTTAGACTCTTGATGAGTCTATAAATGAGTCTATAAATAAAGGATTAGAGTACTTCATACAATTATTTTTTGGCAGAGAATCATCAAATTGTTAGACCACTTCACGTTCTCTTACTTCCATCACCAGCCCCAGC